TTGACACAGGTACAGTGTCAATCCAAGCGGAAACACAAGGCGACCCATCCAAAGTTTTCTGGAAATACACGAACGATCGGCGCTAATGCAAAAACATGATGTGGCTCAGTTCCCGCCTGTCAGCCACAACTCTAAAAACGGCGCATTTTCGGGGTTTGGGGCGAGAGAGAGCCAACGAGCTCGGAGCCTCCCACTAGCGCAGCCCGCCTGGCCCAGCCGTTTGTGGCTCTTTCAACTTCCATTTGACAAAGGCGAAAAGATGCATTGGAATCGAACGCACTTGGCCGACAATGCTGAGGTCGCTCTCGATCGTGAGATTTTGATATGCGGCAATTTCGACCCCAAACACAATAAACCCCATTGGCGAGGCGACCCTGGTTCCCCAATGTGCTCCCATCTGAAAACGAGCTTGTGTCGGGGTGCCGCACGGGCAGTTCCGAAAGAAGGCAAGGAAGCTTCGCGCAGGGGGGAGGGACACCAGCCAGCCTAGGGGTGTACAGTGAGATAAGGCAAGCACAGAAGAAAAAAAGGTACGTCACCCCCCAGCTTATCGCACTTGCAGAAAAAAAGGGAAACCCCACCACAATCGGATTGGTGAGCACCTCAGAAACGTGAACCTCTTAAATTCCCCCTACTCACCAACCGCAGCCACGACAGCGCAGCAGTCACAACCATGAATCCCTTAATGTTGGTCGGTGACATCGTCGAGAAGGAGACGCCGCCCGCGAAGCCTCCAGTCGCATTCAACGACATCGACGCCGCCCCGACCGGCTTCCCTGCACACAAGAAACGCACTCGCGTGTCGGCCTTCAAGCAGCAGCGGCAAGGCAAGCCCGTCACTGGCGCCGAGACCGCCGCGGCGACAAGCTCCATCTCGACACAACCGGAAGAAAATGGCGGCAGCGACTCGCAAAAGTCTTTCGAGGCCGCCGAGCGCCGCCGGATCGATCGCGAAAACAGGCAGAAGCTGGAGGACATGAGCCCGGAGGACATCGCTAGGGAGAGGAAGGAGCTGATGGACTCCCTCGACCCGTCGCTCATCCAACGTCTTCTCGGCAGGGCCAATATTGACGAGCAGCATGGCCCCAATCCCTTCGACCCGCCCGTCGCGGAAGATAGCAAAGTCAAAGAGCCGGCGGCTCCGGCGCCAGAGATCAAGATTGAAGACACCGCTGCGCCACCAAAACCTCAAACTCAAAGTCGACCTCAAGCAACTTCAAAGCCCGCTCCAAAATCCGTATCCTTTGCCGAGGTAGAAGACTCGGAGTCATCACCACCGCCTCCCGTGGACGAAGACAAACCTCCAACCGCGCCTCCGGAAGACCTCTTCCCGCTAAACTCCCAACCCGACAAGACGCACTTCCCCCAGCCGCCTGCGCTGCCCGACCTCGACCCCTCCCACCCGGACTTCCTTGCGACCCTCCACGAGAAGTTCTTCCCGAACCTGCCCGCCGACCCGAGCAAGCTCGCCTGGATGGCGCCCATCCCCACCGCTCACAGTCCTGCAGATCGCGAGTCTCCCTACTACCCGGGCCAGCCCTCGCTGCCCATCTCGGCGCTGCGATTCGACTTCAAAGGCGGCCTGATCCCGCCCAAGCTCAGCAGATCGATCCCTGTGTCCAAGGGGCTGCACCACCACGGCCAGGCGCCCGAGGCGGCGGGGTATACGATCGAGGAGCTTTCCATCTACGCGCGGAGTGCCGTCCCCGCGCAGCGCTGCGTCGCCTTCCAGACGCTAGGACGGATCATGTACAGGTTGGGTAAAGGAGAATGGGGCAACGGCGAGGAGGACAGTCTGGCGAGGGGCATCTGGAGCAGTATCCAGGAGGGACGGGTGCTGGAAAGTCTTTCAGAGGCGGCCATAGTCGAGGGCGGCCACAGGGGAAGTCGTGCGTACGCCACGGAGGCGTTGTGGTTATTCGAGAAGGGCGGCTGGAGAGAACAGTGGTCAGGCAGATAGGCGGATGGGGGCTGTTGTCCCCGGTTTCTCGTGCGAGAGAAGCTGCGGCATCCAATATTTCCATGGACCAACAAATGATACCACGATTGCAAGACAATGACTTGTACGAGAGACCAGATAGGTCAGCTGTCCAACAGAAGCCTTCAAACTTTGAGAGTAACCTCAATGCCGGACGCCGAAGCCGCTGATTGGAATGAATCAGGGAAGTTAAGCAGCCGCAGCATATTCAGGCTCTCGGACACCCAACCCGTTGGATTGGAATGAATCAGTGAAGCTAAACAACAGCAGCGTATTCGGGCCTTTCATTAGTGATCTGCGGTCTAACATTAGGCCGTCCAAACTATGTGACGTCTCTTCCGGACCGTGTCTGTTTGCCATTTTGGTCGTGTCCTGGAAGAGAGGTAGGAGAGGTAGGAGATCTTATCTCCACGCTCTGGCTAGCTGTTGTCTCGCGATCCCCTTTGCGATCTGGCAGCCCCTCGCTGGGCTGACCCCACCCGGGCCCCCCATTTCACAGAAGCACTATCCTCCCAATCCCCGGAGGTGCCTCCGGGGCACGGGGTTGGACCGGGCTGATACGGGCGTCGTTGATGCCTGTTGCAACCCAACCAAGCCGCCGTGCCACATCGCGCGGAAGCCGCGCGCAGAAGATTACGGAAGTGTTTCGAGAGTTCTGCACCACCCCGAGATGGAGTCGGAAACTTCAAGTCCAACCTGGACTTCTAACAAGTGAGTTTAACATATAGTATAAATAAAAAGTTGCTGGGCCATGCCGGGCGGGGTTATGGTTATTGGTGCAGGACCACCTCTCGAGCCTAACTCCGTGGTCTTACATGGACAACACAACCTTTGCCTGACCAAAACGCCAAGCGACCTGACTCTGCTGACTTCCTATACGGGAAATAGGATGGCAGCGGCCCCCAAACTGCCCATCGACGTGCGCCAGGCGAACACGCCGGGGCCGTTACACGCGTCAATGCGAGCACCCAGGCTCGGTCGCAGGAATCGCATGGGCCGGACTAGCCCAGAGCGCACGCAGCCAAACCGCTGGAGCTTCGTCCCGACACGCGCGCCCGTGCCGATTCCCCACAAGTCGATCCTGCCCAGGCTGCGAACCTCAAACTATGAATCCCCTCCTGCAGACCGAAACCTTCGGACCTGTCGGCAGAATGCTAGAGTGATGCCACTTCATGAGGCCTGTGATGAGCAGACTTCGACTTTCGAAGGCTTCCAGAAGAACGCAACGCGATGCCCATCGCACCGTCCCCAACCCCAGATCGGCCTGAGGCAACCATGGGGAGAGGATCCTGTCTCGAGTGTACATACCGTATCTACTCGGTCAACTCGCCTTCCACTTTTTTCTGCACTAGCCCAAATTGGCTAGCAGCCCAGCAGCCAGCTAGGCCTATTATCGAAGGCGGTCAGCCAGCGCCAGCCAGCATCATCGTTGTTGCCTGCAACCTTCACAGCCACTACAACCTCCAGGATACACCCACTTCAACTATCGCAACCTACCTACTTTGACGATGCCCAACCGCCAGCCGCTGGGCGATATCGATCGCAATACCTTGCCAGTTACGCCGCAAAAGAAGCCTCGCGGCAAGACGGCTACCCCAATTACTAAGCGAAGTTACGCTGCAGCAACAGCAGCCCAGAGATCGCAGCGATCCTATCGCCAACGCAAGCAAGTTGCTGTACTAATGTACCTTGAGCACCACCGATACCCCATTGAGCCCTGGCCTGTTACCCGTTAATGCATTGGCGATACCCCTCTTGACCCTGCCAACGGCCTACGCCGCCCAACCTTTGACGAGGCAGCCAGTTATTTCAAGATCCCTCGCACGACAATTCGAGGCTAGTACCAGCGACGAGATACTATCGTCAATAACCCAGCTGCCAGCAGTAGCCAGCCTAGCTGGCCCGATCTAGAGGCTGACCTCTATACCCAATTTCGCCAGCAACGTGACGAATCTAGGGTTGTTACTACTGGCTGGTTTAGACGTACGGCAAGAGCCCTTTTTGCCAGCAGATACCCTGGCCTATTTACCTTCTGCTTCTCTGTTGGTTGGTTTAGCGGTTTCTATAGCCGCTAAAATATTTCCTATTATTGGCTCACAAAGCAAGCCTTAAAGTTGCCCGCTAACTATCTTGTTATTATTACCCAGTTCCTTTACTTTAACCGGCAAGTTAGTCAGCCGGCACTAGCCCAGCTGCCTCTTGACCTATTAACTGGCCTTCAATTTCCAACCCATCGCATTATCAACTTTGACGAGACCCCTATACCCTTTAAGTATCTCGATGGGTCAACATGGGCTGACAAGGGCGCCTATACCGTTACTGGCAAGACTGATCGTAGTAGCTAGAGTAAGCGCCAAGCCACCCTTATCCTCTATATCTTCGCTAATAGTATCCAACGTATCCTGCCTAATGTTACGGTCAGATATCCGACAGTGGTGTTTTCTGCTAATAGGCAGCTGAGGTCGATACTCGGTAACAGTAAGGTAAGTCTTGTTGGTAATCTTGCTGGTCTGTTGGTGTCTGGTGATCAGTCAGGCACGTCTAGGCGTAGATAGCTTTATAGCTTCACAACAGAAGGATAATCTAAGAGTCACTTATGAGAGAGTGAATCACGAAGTTGATTGCTGAAGAGCTATGGAGAGTCTTTGAGCCCCAGGCTCAAGTCCTGTCTATATACTGATGTCTCCCTATCGTGATGCTGTTGATGGTGATCAACTAGAGTGGGTCCGGGGTGAGCTGCTCACTTGGTGATCGCTCCCAGTGATCACCTTATCTCTTGATCACTTTCTTATCATCACGTGATCTGTCCATAGTTCTTCCGTTCCGACCCTTGCCCGTAAGCGCCGTGATCATGCATACATGAGCCCGAATGTCCCCTGGTCCCTCGTGGGTTCGTTCCAGGTGGTTACGTTAACCAACGCTTTCCTGGGTCGTAACATCAGGTCTCCCCTCCAAAGGTCTAGCCCCTTAGACCTATATAGGTAAGTGGGTTCCCGCCGCGGGCTGTCCCTGGGTTTATCTCATTCTCATCTTTCTTCCACCATGTCGTTGGTGACTAATGCGGCAGAGTCAGACACTCTTAAATCTGGCAAGGCTTCTTCCACCAAGCGCCGTCTCGCGGATTCCTTGAGGATTCGTGAACACGGAATTGAAATCGAAATGCCGTGTAGTTGGTGTCGTTCCAAGGGGATCCGTTGCAAGATGCTTGCGGGTTTCCAGAAGTGTCAAGAGTGTACTCGCCGGGGTCGCTCTTGTGATGGGGATGATAATGCGGTTTGCGAATGTGAGTGTTTTTCGTGGTTCCGAGGTGTGTGGCTTTCTAATGATCGTAGTGGATCGTTTGCTGAATGAAGCCGATCGTCTGGATAAGGCTGAAGAGCAGGAGGAAGAGTTGCTTCGTCAGAAGGCGGAGTTACTGCGAAAGCAAGCAGAACTGTTCCGTCTTGCGCAGGCGGAGATGGATGCGTCTCTTGCCCGGCTCGATCGTTTACGTAAAGAGAAACGGATGATTTTCAAGAGGGGTCGTGAGGCCGCTGCTGAGTGGCCTGCGGATTCGCCCGTCGATCCGGTGGTTGAGGCGGTTCACGAGGTACAGGCTAGTGGTGGTTTTGGTGCAATTGACCTGTCCTTCCTTGAGTCTTTTGATCCTAGCGATCCGTCCTGGCAGTCCTTCGGTGAGCTGCCTGTTGAGGGTTTCGTGGCTGAGGGTTCTGGGACTCGCGATAGTCCTGAAGGAGTTGCTGGGAGTGTTGGAGGTTCTTGACTGGCTCCCATGAATTGTCCTCGTGTCCGTATCCTTTCCATTTAATAAGATATTGTGTTTCTCCGTTTTCCTCTCGCTCGTCAATGATTCGTTCGACTTCGTACTCCGGTTCGTTTGGTTCCACGATGATGCAGTCGTTGGTGTTTGATCCTCGCGGTGCTGGTTCAAGCAGTGCGATATGAAAAACTGGATGTATCTTCATTGTGTCTGGTAAGTCGAGTTTGAAGTTGACGTCTGAGATTTTCTGAATGATTTTGAAAGGTCCAAGTTTTTTGTAGTCCAATTTGTCACTTGGTCTTTTCGTTTTGATGTTGCGTCGCAGAAGATACGCGCTATCTTCCTCTTCAAAGGTTGGTCCCTCAACCCTTGATGTGTTGGCGTATTTCTTCATTCGTGCCCTGACAAATTCGAGATCTTTGGTGGCATTCTCTTGGATTTCTCGTAATTTGTTGTAATCTGCCACAGCCTTTAGTGCTCGTGGTCCCTGTCGAGGTTCTCCATATGCCGTAGGCTCGAATCCGTAATTCAGGTAGAATGGGGAGTTCAGTGTGCTTTCTCCTATAGCACTGTTATAGGCGAATTGGGCCATTGGAAGCAATGGTACCCAATTGTCTTGGTCGTAGTTGACATAACATCGTAGATACTGTTCCAGTATCTGGTTGATTCGTTCGGTTTGTCCATCGGTTTGTGGGTGAAAAGCGGTCGATAGCTTGTGATCAGCTCCTAGTTGCGAAATCAGGGATTTCCAAAACTTGGATGTGAACAGTTTGTCTCTATCGGATACGATTTCCTTGGGCAATCCGTGGTTGCTGACGATGTATTTCAAAAACGCGTACGCTAGGTCTTCTGCCGTGCTTGACTCTAAGTACGGGATGAAGTATGCGTATTTCGTGAGTCGGTCGACAATGACCAATATGCTGTCATAGTAGGTTTTCGTGAGTGGTTCTTTTGACTTGGGGAGTTTGACGATAAAGTCCAAAGAGATTGAGTGCCACGCTTCTGGTGGCGCTGGTAGTGGTTGCAATTGTCCGTATGGTTTGTGTGGACTATTTTTGCTTTTCTTGCACATGTCGCAATCCTTGATTGCTGAAGCCACTTCTGCTCGAGTGACTCGTGCGTCGTAATGTTGTCGAATTCGTTTAAATGTTTTGGTAACTCCTTGGTGTCCGTGGGCCCTAGCACTATGAATCTCCATGATCTGTTCAGGTGTCATCCTGCC